TCATATCTGCTCTCTGCCCTTGCAACCTCTCCACGCCAAAAAAATAAATAAATAAAATTTTAAAGAAAAACAAACAAACAAAAGTCTCAGCATGGAAGCTGTAGTGTGGCCCAGTGAGTCAGACAGCACACGCTGTCATCTATTCATCTTTACTTGTAAGTGTTCATTGCAATGAGTCACTGGTCTGGTTCAAGGCCTCTGGCTTCTGCTACACTATCAATACTAGGCCCTTGCTGGGTCTCCTCTTGGATATCCTGTTGTTGCCTAGTGTCATGGAGATCCTGCTGTTTTGGATCTGCAGGTCCAGCCCTGTCACATGCTCCAGCAATTTGTAGATGATGTGGATGTTGGGGTGGGCCAGCTCATAGCCCTGGTTCTGGGCCTGGGTGGTAGTTGGGTGGGTCAGCCTTCCAGCTTTCCCTCATCCTCACCACCCAAGCTCTCCAGCACTGCCCCTCACCCAGCAGCAGGCAGCAATAGGGTAGGGCCACTTCTGTTCTAATGCCCTCAAGACGGCTCACCTGCACCCATACCTCCAGGGACAGTTCTACTGGTTTGCCCAGGTGAGGTGCAGGGTCTGCTCTCCTGATTACTGCAATTGGCAAGGTGCAGGGCCTGCTCTCCTGAGTACTGCAGCTGTTGAGGTGCAGGGCCTGCTCTCCTGAGTACTGCAGCTGGTGAGGTGCAGGGCCTGCTCTCCTGAGTACTGCAGTTGACAGGGTGCAGGGACTGCTCTCCTGAGTACTGCAGCTGGCGAGGTGCAGGGCCTGCTCTCCTGAGTTATACAGTTGGTGAGGATCAGGGCCCGGTCTCCTGGTCTTGTGTCCTCAGGCCAACTATCTTACCTGCCACAGGTAGCAAGGGGCAAGGAGACAGGGAGAATCTTTCTGTCACCCTTGCACTATATGGCAGAGATTGGGGGCAAAGAAAAGGTCAGCTCTTCGACTCACCTGTGTCCCCCAAAATATATTCAAATTTATAGTGAAAAAAATTTAAAGAATAATCAAATCTGAATAAAAAATATAGTTATTTGAGAAAATAATTTAGGCCAGGTGGTGATGGTGCACACCTTTAATCCCAGCACTTGGGAAGCAGAGGCAGGGAGATCTCTGTGAGTTCAAGGCCAGCCTGGTCTACAAGAGCTAGTTCCAGGACAGCTAGAGCTGTTACACAGAAAAACCCTGTCTTGAAAAAACAAACAAAAGTAAAAGTGTAATTTGATTGCCTTGGGAACAGAACTCCTTCAATCAGATCCATTCAGTCTCATATTCTCTCTTCCTGCCTCAATCCCTTCCAACCTCCCTTCTTTTCTCCATTTTGACACCCAGTCTACCAAATGGAGGGAGGGAGGCTCTGAGTCTTTTTTTAATCGGTAAAGAGGTGAACCACTTCTGTGCAATTAAGACTCTAAACTCTCGTAGAGCTGGGACATAGCTCAGAGATAAAGGTGCTTACCTAACATGTGCTAGGGCCTGGCTTCAATCCCCCAGCACCACACATGCACCAGCATGTATGTGTATGTGTGTGTGTGTGTGTGTGTGTGTGTGTGTGTGTGTGTGTGTGTGTGGTGCTGGGAGATGGGGAGTCATTTTTCTTCAGGGTTTGGCCACTGGTAGGTTGAGCATGCACATGTAGATAGCACATGTAAGATTATATTTTAAAAAGAAAATGAAAACATATAGATGGGAAAGGCACACACCGGGGGCCTGGCAGACTGGAAGAAGAGAGTTGGGAGCAGATATGATCAAAACACAGCGAAGGAAATTGTCAAAGAATAAATATTTTTAAAAACAGTTTAAAGAGCCCAACATTTTTGCACGTCTATTACCACAGGTGTATCCACAGATACTTCCTTCTCGTGGATTATTTCACAAGGCCTGCTCTGTTAATCTTCTGTAGTGGTCCACAGGCTCACCTCTGCGTGCCTAGATGTTATGTCTACTGTTTGAGACACCTGCAAATTGATGACCGCCGTGGAACGGCACTCTAGAGGCAGCTGAATGGCTCCTTTTCTCCTTACCATTTTTCATGTACTTCAAAGAAGACAAAGAAGAGAAAGAGAGTGGGAAAGGACAAAGACCAAACAAAAAAATGCATTAAAAATAAATGATGGGGTGAGCTGTGGCTGCCTTTTGCTCAGGCAAAACACCTCACTGTGCGGCTACTTCAGCTCTTCTTGGAGGTCAGCTAATCCTCGCCCTCAAGCTGGCAAGCTGTGCAGCACCCAGGCATCATGTGACTCAGACGCCAGAGGGTGTGTTACGCCAATTGTTACTATAAATACCACACCCAACATGTTCATGCCACAGCATCGAGGTGTCTCTGATGGGCTCAGCAGCTAATAGTTTATGAAGTCATTAGCAAACGGCCTGAGAAACTCCATATTTTCATGGTCACATATGGTTCAAGATAGAGTCACCTAGAAATGGCGTTACACCCATCTACAAACCCAAGGGTACTGTGGTTGGTCCCCCTAGAGTGGGATGATGGGATGGGAAAGCCTTGACCTAGATCTATGTGACTTACTTAATTGGTCCAATGCGGCACCAAGGCACAGTACTTGAAAATGCCCGGGGCAGTAAGGACCCCACTGCACCTAATTAGTCATACATAATAGCTGAGGGTCAAAGACACCTGTTTGTTTATTCCTTTGATAGCTTTTGTTGAATGACAACACTCTTGGGTACTAGGGACATAACAGTGAGATAAAGCAAGAAACAACCGTCCACAATTTCAGATATGTAGCAGCAGCCAAGTCTTTTAGGCAAGTCACTTTGCTTCTTTGGGCATTATATTTCTGATACATTCTATAAGACTGTATTATGTAGATCATGATTTCATGGCTCCTTCTATGCTACCCATTCATGATAACTACTGATCCCAAATTTCCTGTCTGGGAAAGAAGAAAAAGAAACAAAACAAGCCTTCTAGAGTTTGCTGGATAAAACACAAAGTGACAAAAAGAAATTAAAGCAGCCAATCAGTGCTACTAGAATTCATGTTGACAAAGCCCAGTCTTCGCCCAATACCAAATACAACCATAACAAAAAGTCCTAAAAATTAAAAAGCCCTAGAATGTTGTGGGTATTTGTACACTGTGTGAAAATATATTACTTGTGATTAGTGTAAAAAAAAAAAAAAGCTGAACAGCCAATAGCTAGGCAGGAGGTATAGGTGGGACTTCTGGACAGAGAGAGAGAGAGAGAAAGGAGTAGGAGATGAACCTAGGCATGCGAGAGATGCCAGGAGACACGGAAGGAGCAGGGTGAGTGGTACGTGACAGACATAGATTATTAGAAATGGGTTAAGTTACGTTATAAGAGCTAGTTAAAAACAAGCCTAAGACCAAGCTTTCATAATTAGTAATAAGTCATTATTTGTGAGCTGGTGGTCCAAAGGAAAGTCCAACTACACTAAATCTAAAGCATTTCCCATCAGTCACTCCACTCAGCCCATGAGGTAAGATGGCCCTGCAAATATGAGCTCTCTGAGTTCTGTAGGGGGACAAAAGTCTTGGGTAAGGCTTCCTCTGTAGGGAGTTTTCGATCTGGGTTGAGGTAGCTGTGTATGAGAACAGGAGGACATTGCCACCCAGGGAGAGAGAGAGTGGAGGCCTCAATAGAAGTTGACTCAGCTGATTCTTTGAAATTCGTCACCAGAATTGCAAGCTTGGGGCCAGGATGACATGTGCCCCCAACGGTGTGTGGAAGCCATTCTGAATTGTCATTCATAGCTTACCATCAATCTCAGATCCAAGTCTTTGATATTGGCTACACATTTTAGGCCTCTCTAGAGAGCAGGGGCCGCATCCAGCCACAGGCCTGGCTGAAGACTCTGGGATTTCCTAGGAATGTGAGCCCAAGGAAGAAATTAATTGCTATGCCTCCCGCTGCCCTGAGTCAACCCAGGAGGGCTGATATCTGTAATTAATGGGTCACTGATGGGAGAGAATGATTAGTCAATTCTTGATTGCCTGTGATCCTTTAATCAGGACTGTCCAGGAAGTAGAAGATGAATTCATGAGTGGTTTAAGTTCTTGAGCCATCCGAGGACTCTGGGTAGTATTTCCGCTTTTCTCTCAAAGATATTTCATAGGTTTGTACCAGGTCAAAAGCGAAATGGATGCTCGCTCGCTTTACGTCTTGTGGAAAGACTGAGAGAGAATCACAGAAAGGGTCTAGGAATACAGGATGGTTAGTATTAGTTTCAATACTTCATTCTACACTTTTAAGTAACCGTGACCTATTTTTAGGTTTCTTACTCTGTAATTTATTTCATTGTGATCAGAGTCTCAGAGGGGAAAAATAACTCCGTTTCATTTGACCAAATCCAATGAGCATCTTCTCTGGGACAGGAACTGTACTTGGGGTTCAAGTTTTAAATGAGACATAAATCCTGTCATGGAAAGCTCGATTTAGCAGGTGTGGAAGGTAGCCTCGAGCATTCTACCAGGCAGTCTCACCCCTGGTGTCCACAGTCTGGTGTCATTCTCTCTCTCTTTCCAGAAGGATTGGACTTTATAACGCACATCTATCAAGCAGACTATGACATTGGCGGTTGCTATTACTTCTAACATCAGCTGATAAAACACAGGTTTCCCCTATCTCCTGTGTCTTCTTACTCTAAGGGAGATAACCTCTAAGTAGAGAGGTGCCCTATGGTGAGCTCCATATGGCAATGAAGGAAAACTTATAGGTTCCATACAACAGTATCTTGAGAGGAGCTGAAGAATCTGAGAACCAAAGCTGTGTAGGTGGGCTTAGACTAGATCCTCTCCCAACCGAGCCTTCGGATAAGATCACAGCCCTGCTTGACAGCTTGACTGTGACCTCAGGATGGAACTCGGACCCGAGATACCCAGCTGAACCACGCCTAGGCTCCTGACCACAGAAACTATGAGATCATAGACTTTATTCTAAGCTGCTCTGTTTTAGAATAACTTGTTATGTAGCGACAGGTAAGTAACTATTCTAGAGAGAGAGAGACACTTTTTAAAACGACTGCAGGACAACACGGTTAGGCATTGTAATACAGAAATGGATCAAACTCCTGAGGCGGGAAAGCAATAAATCGTCTTGTGGAGACTTGGGGAAAGTCAGGAAGAGCAGGTACCATTTGAGCTGGGTCTGGATGGATAAGTAGGGGCTGCCTAAGTGAAATAAAAAAAAAAAAGAGAAACGAGCTATACAAGGAAAATGAAATAGCAGAGAATGTTAGGAACAAGGTCCATTCAGCCAAAACTGATAGCCAAGGAAAGAAACAGCGAGGGAAAATGGCGACAGAAGATTGACGGAAAGCCACACAAAGATGAGGGAAGGGTTCTACCGTGGGCATCAGAACCACAACATGACTCTTTGAGCAATGGACTAATGTGCCTGTCACCCTGCTTTCCAGGGGTGACCCTAGTGGAAAGGCAGAGAGTAAAAACAGTGAAGGTAACTGAGGAAGGTGGCTGCTTGCAGGGCCCAAATAGTCAATGAATGTTGAACACACACAATATTCTGGGCACAATAACAGACAAAAATTTAGCTTTTTTTCTGAGATGCTCTTCTAGCAGGGTCCTAAGTGAAAGAAAGGCTTATCAATACTTGGAATAAAGGTAAAGTTGAAAGAAGTTGAAAGGCAGAATTGGTCAGCAGAACGTGAAGCCCACCTGGACACATGAGTAAGAAAAAAATGGAGAAGTCAAAAGTGTCACTAAGGTTTCTAAGCTGGGCCACAGTGTAGAAAACAGCCCTGTAGCTGAGTTAGAGATGAAGGGCATGCAGAATGTAGCTGTGCACTACCCCATGGCATTTCGGTCCAAGATGGATCCATGCTGGTCTTGCTAGAGTACATGGCCCAGAGACATTACAATCATCTCAGTTAGTTTGGCACCAGGACATTTTCATAACCATGAAATCACCCAGTGATGCACTTTTCAGAACAACCCCCTCTGCTGTGAACTGACACATGGGTGCATAATAACCAGCCTCATTTATACACATTGCATTCACGAGGCATTCAGTGGAAACGTCTTAGGATCAGTGAGAGAATATGGTTCTGCATTCAGGCAAGAAGACCAGACTGGGCATGTAAATTTAGAAATCCTGAAATCTGGGTGACAGAGGAGGCTTTGGAACATGGTGAGATGATCAGAGGGTGACCACAGGGCAAAAAAAATTGGAAAAAACTAATTGGAGTGGGAAGTGGGAAACAGTTGGAGGTTAAGTTATTAAAAAGTGCCAGGAGCAGAATCCACTGAGGGAAAAAAATGGATCTAGTGTGGTGAGAAATGAGAACCTAAAGAAATATACATGATGGCATCCAAGGAGGGGAAGGTAGAGAACCACAATCAAGTGGGCAGCGAGGTAAGACAAGACCTGCAGGGGACAGGTAGTCTAGGAGAAGCAGCATCCTATGGTGACATGCTCTCATGCCTCCTGGGATGTCTAGATGACTTCAACACTGTCAGGGGAAGAAATCACATGCCCACAATCTCCCACATCTGTCATGAGCTTGGCCCATCACACTTACGCTTGTGTCACGTGACACAGTCTTTAGAAATATCATCCAACTCAATCTTTGAGTAACAAGGTCATTTTTGGATGTAAGTCCCAGAACCAAGGCTGTGGTCCCCTGCCAGCCTGTTTCTGTTCTTCCCAGAGGATGAGTCGAGTCCCAGTGGATACATTCTTTTCCTTCTGATCTTGGATGAGGTCCTTCAGGGTTAAGTGTCTGAGCTTCGCTAGCAAAGTTGAAGCTCATACGAGTAAGAACTTCTCACATAGCTCCAGAGTCTCCCTAATGAAAGCCACACAAATTCTCTAGGAGGATGAAAGCTAGGAGGTGAGGATGAATGAAGATCAAGCCGCAGTGTTGGTGGCCACAGGGAGCTTTAGAAATACCCATGAATCTTTCATCTACCTCCATTCATTGTCAAGGGGTGATTGTGAGTCCTCTCCTTAATTGCAGACTGGACTGAAAGGTTAGCTTTTAACAGATAATAGAATTGAAGAAGTCAGGCAATCTTAGAAATTAAATGTTCTCTCTCTCTCTCTCTCTCTCTCTCTCTCTCACACACACACACACACACACACACACACACACACACACACAACTGGTCCTGGAGGAAGTCAGCTACTGTACTTCCTGAGGGAAGCTTCTGCTCCACAGCCAACGAAGATCCCAGGTTCAATCCAGCACCCATGAGGAACTATGGTCAACCAACACACCAGGGTTAGCTTAGAAGTGGCTCCTCAAGTCCCAGCAGTGCTGGAATGGCTGCAGCCCAGGAGACGCCCTATGACAGAACAGCTACACAATGAAGCCATTCCAACACCCCTGCCCCACAAACACTGAGGCAAATGAGGTTTGAAGTTGCTGGGTCAGGAGTACTTCACTTTGCAGCAAGAGTTAACTAATAATATAGAGCAAACTAATACAACAAGAGGTCTTGTTGGAAGGTTAGAAAACAAGATATTTGGAGGCTGGGGAGATGACTCAGTGCCTAAGAGTGTGCACTGCTCTTGAAGAGAGCACAGGTTCATGTCCCAGCACCCAACTCCTGCTCCAGGAGATCCAACACCTCTGGTCCTCATGGACACACACACTCTCTTTCTCTGTCTGTCTCTGTCTGTCTCTGTCTGTCTCTGTCTGTCTCTCTGTCTCTCTCTCTCTCACACACACACAGAGAGAGAGAGAGAGAGAGGCAGAGAGAGAGACAGAGAGACAGAGAGAGAGAGAGAGAGAGAGAGAGAGAGAGATTCAAAAATAAATAAACCTTTAAAAAAGAAAAGAAAACCAGACATTTAAAACAACTTCCATATAGGTAACGTGCCCCTTGTCCCCGCCACAGTGAAGCCTAGTACTGTGCTGGACACGAAGGGAAGAAGCAAAAGTTGGGGGTTTATATAATTCTCTCCCCTCTACGAGGGGATTTTTTTCTTTTTAAGTAGATCATCTTATAAAAGCCAATGGTGGTGGCTGGACAGATGGCTCAGGACTGAAGAGCATTTGCTGTTTTTGTAAAGGACCTGAGTTCATTCCCTGCACCCTACATGGTGGCTCATGATCACGTGTAACTCCAGTTCCAGGGGATTCAATGACCTCTTCTGACCTCAGTACACACCAGACGCATGCATGGTCCACATACATATATGCAAGCAAAACCCTCATACACATAAAGTAAAATCTTAAAAAAAAGAGTCAATAGTGGGAACCTAGCTGATCTAAGCAACCACACAAAGATGAGTAGAAGAAGCGAGGGGGTAGGACCCCTCACAATCTCCAACAAGCTGACTGTATCTGCCATTGGTTTCCTGGACTCAACCACGTCATGACTCCATAGAAACCCACTCCACCACCATCATTAGCCTTTGGTGCTATCCTTGATTTTGGTCTCCCTCTGGATGTGGGATGTCCTTCACATTCTCACCTGTTCAACACTCCATGCACCTGTCTGAGCCTCTCACCTCCAATAAGTTTCTTGTTACAGTTTCCGGAAGCAAGTCCTTAGTGTTAGGAAGCCACGGGCTTCCTGAAAGTCTGGTTGAACTGATATGTACCCAACAAGTATCCACTGCCTATGGGATTTCAAGCACCTGTGGATAGGTTTGTGGATATTTTCTTTCATTTGAAGATAAGGTCTTGTCGTGTAGACCAGGCTGGCCTTGAATTCACAGAACTCTGCCTACCGCTACATCCTGAGTGCTGGGATTAAAAGAGTACACTGCCACACCTGCTTGGGGTCACTATCTTAATGATCTTCCCTCCCACCATTTCCAGCAATATTCACTGGGGTCGTTTCATTTCCCACAGTCATCCTGGAAGGTAAGCAAGACAGGCGTCCTGATTGACAAAAGAAGAAATCAAGGCTCAGAGTGACTGAGGCAGCCAAGAAACAGTGGAGCAGAAATAATCTAACTCCTCACATTCAAGTCTCTGGTCATCTGTGGCTGCTCGCTTCCGAATGGCCAACCCACATGGAGTGGCCCCACTTCCTTCGGCTCCTTATTTGAAGCTGCTAAATATAGCAACATTCTCCCCTTTTTCATACAGTAAGTCTGGCAAACCTGTCTGCCTCAATCCTTCTGTTTGTACTCCACTGGAGTGTATTGTCCCCAAAGGCTCCATGCCTCTGATGAAGTCCCCAGGAAGCAGGGTTTCACGTCCTCACCACCTGGCAGTGACTAATCTTGGAGAGCCCTAGGGAACAGTTGCCCAGGAATAAGCCAGTCCAGCCCACACAGAGGCCCTGGGGGCTGCAGGAAATAGGTCAGCAGCCTGTGGTGGCATTACTGGGCTTCGACTCCTGGGAACTGAAGTACCTTGCCCTCACTGATTACAACCCCTCAGACAGCCATGGTCGTGGGAGGCATCAGGTCTCCCCTCCACCTCACAGCCCCACCAAATCTTGCTGGGCTAGTTACATCCGTGTAGAGCCGGTTGTCCGGGCTCTCCCTAAGATCCCCCCGAGTGACTGCCCATCACCAGCTCAGCTGTAAAGGCACTGAAAGGAGCACAAAAGGACGCTTGGCATCCCAGGCTGATTTCACATCAGACACCTCCACTGCACTGTCAGCTGAGAAAGGACAAGAATATTCCTTACTCACCTCAGCAAAGAACAAAAGCACAGACAAAGAAAGAGCCCTTGCCCTCCTCCCCAACCCCTGCAGGCGCCTTTGCAGTCATCAAACTGCACCTTGGTCAAGGCATCTACAACCTCACCCTCCACTACCCACTCTCCAAAGTTCTAACAAGGGCCCAAAGACTCAGTGTCTCCTATTAAGTCTTTCCACCTTCTCTTTCTCCTCCCAATTTTTCCAGATCGTGAATTCACTTCTTCCAATTGTAATGACAGAAAAATGGATAAGGTGACAACCAGTCTTCCCTGGAATCTGTCACTAAGACTTCTTGAGACCCTGAGGTCCCTGACATCTTTCAATGTCCTCAACAGAAGGAAACAAAATCACACCAAGGTAACACTGCTTGAAGGAGAAACGTCCTCAAGGTTACATCAATGCTGGCACCAAACCTAGTACTGTCTGGCTTTACATCAGCCCAGTGCTTGCCCCAGCCCTCATTCACTCTCTCTCTTTGGTCACTATGCCCAACAAATGGATCACTTTCTACCAATCAAATTTCACCCGCAATGGATGTGAATTTCCCTGACAGTCTAACAAATATTTATCCAACAAATTCATGAACGAGAATTGATCTTGCTGTTTACTCTGAAAGCTGAAGGAGTTGACTCTTACATGGCTTTATTTTTTCCCCCTCTGGAGAAATTAGAGAGTTAGGATAGCACGGGAGAAAGCAAATCAATGGCTATTTCCAGTTACCAGCATCTGTCTTCAGATTTAATAGAAATGATGCCCTGAGCCACGCTGTCTACTCAGGCTCCTCACTGGAGAAACACCCCATCGATATTAGGGTAATGCATGAGGAATGCCTTCCCTGGTCCTCTGGAAATGTAGACAAGAGCCTCGCAACTGTTGCAAGACGCACAAAGCCCTTCTGGATGAGAAGTGATCAATTCCATCCCATAATCAGAGAAATGAAAGCAGCAACCCTCTCTGAAATGGCTCTGGTCCACCTGAGGCATAGCTGTGAGAGGATTTGGAATACATCATCTGACTTGCCTTCAGGGAGGGCTAGACAGCAGGTGCATGTACCACCCTTCTAGCCAATATTCATGGCAGACATCACTAATCAAAATCTGGCATGCTCTTCCAATCCACATAGATAAGACCTTAGGATTCTTCTTAAAACAATATTCCAAGCATCCATCCCCTGTGGAATTATACACAATTTTAAAAAAAACCCCACTGGCTACCTCTGAGCTAGAGGCTACTGGGCTTGACAGGTTAAAACTTCTGGTATGAGAATTAAGGAGTCAAACCTTATACAGGTCAAATATACAACTCCTGCTTTCCTGTCTGTGAGTCAGTGTCCCCAACCAAAGCCACAAACCAAATGGTTTTGTTTTATAGTCAGCCTCTCACCGACACTCTTCCTACAGTCGCATAGTTCTGTATCTACAGGAAGTCTCCAACACCCTTTTAAAGGGGAGATTTTTTCAAATGTTCATTAATTTTCACCATGCCACCAGCCAATAGGTCTCTACCAATCCCCCTTAAGGAAGCCCTCTGTCTCTCATTGCCTGAAGTGTGTTCTTCAAGCCTTCTTGCTAGGGGCTAACTCTGCCCTTTTTATAGATCCATGTCTTTCCTATTACCGATTCCCAATAGCCCTAACCAATGGTAACACAGAAAAACATCCATTACTTGCACTTTCCCTTCTGCACACAAAGACGCTACCCTCCCCGCCCAGATTCACAGCCAGTTGTCTATACTCAGCTATGCAAAGTGTGCTCCACATGTCATCAGCATGCGTATCACTTAGGAACATGTTCGTAATGCACACCAGAGCTACTAGATCAGGCCTGCAGTGCCTCAGGCTAGCAAGAGCTCCAAATGCAGAGTGTGTCTTGAAATGGGAGGCTCACACTCGCTCACTCCCTTCTGGGTTACCCCCTCAGTCCTCATCTCTTCTAATATGAATCATTAACCACAGAAGATTTAGCATCAAATGAGTGGATCTAGCAATACACATATGAATAGCAGAATAAACAAAATGTCACTTGCACTGTCTTTGAGGTCCAGAGATTTCTATCCATCCTTCAAGCCCAGTGTCAGTGGCCCCATGTCTGGAAGCCTCCTCTGCTCTACACTGAGGACAAGGAAAGTCGGTGCAGGGAGGATGGAGAGGATGCTAACGGAACAGCCTGTCTCTAAACAGCACGAGAGCACCCAGAACCTGAAGCCTGCTGCCTTAAAGAATGGCGTCAGGAGTCTGTATGACTTCTATAGAAGGCCCTGGCCACTACCAAAGGCAGGAACTCCCACCCAGAATCCAGAAGAGAGGACGAACATTGCTTTGAAGATAAGGCCCCATGTGAGCTGACTGCAGTGTGGATCTCCTGTCTGGGCTCTGAACCAGGATGCTCACACCTCACTGCCTCTCTCAATCTGCTTAAGAACCTTCTCCGAGCTCCACCTTTGCACACACGTCCCCGATTCTTCTCTTTCCCTCTCTTTGTCTCGGGCATTTCTCATTTGGAGAACAAGGATCTCAGAGTGGAAATGTCAGTCATTTGTCTTCCCATTTCCACAACCCACAGAAAGCTTTCCTGGCACCCCAGTGCCTCCCAGATGCCAGAGCGCACAGCAGTCACCAGCAGGGGTGGTTTAAATCATCAGCTACCTTGCCCCATGCTTCAAGTCTACCAGCTCCAGCTCTGCGTATCCGTCAGTGTCCTGTGGAAACTTGGAGCTGATCAGCAGACTGTGCTGCGATGGTCACCACTCTAACCCTGAGTCCTCCTTGGTCCAAGAAAGGGTTCTAAGTGTTTCCTGCCCACATGTTCCTTTGATTGTGAGGAGCAAGGCAAAAGGCATACGCGGCTGCTTTGTTAAACTGGAAAACACTCAAAATCAAAACAGACGAGGCTCATTGCTCCTCCGCTTTGTGTCGACACCGCCAAACTTCTAGTCCCACTCCCAGAAAGTCTGTGTTACTCTCCACCTCACAACCCACTCTCGACGCACTCCTAAGGATTTCAGGCAAGGCCGTGATTGATGCAAAATCATGCCAACGCACACTGGCCACCATTCAGGCCAGGCACAGGTTGTCTTCCGGAAAGCCAGATACCTGAGGCTTGCACACAAACAGGAGACCTGGGTTTCCTAGGAGCAGCTTCAGGCTAGCATCATCCATCCACGCCCTGTCCCCAAGAGAAGGCCTTTTAGATGACAAGACACTCAGAATCAGTAGAGACAAATTCAAATGCTCAACCTAGCAGTGTGGAGCCAAGGAGACAGGAGTAGGAAAGGAGAACCACAGATTTAACATGGTTCCCTGTGCGTCATTAAGGAGCATGGACTGTCCTGGCAACCTAATGAAACAATGGCTGAATTAAACAGACCCAAAATAAGCATTGCTTCTTGACATTTTCTCTTTTTTCATTTATTGCTATTTTATGTACATTGATATTTTGCCTACACGTATGTCTCTGTGAGGGAGTTGGAGTTACAGACAGGTGTGGGCTGCCATGTGGGTGCTGGGAATTGAACCTGGGTCCTGTGGAGGAGCAGCCATCTCTCCAGCCCTGCCATTTTCTATGTTAGTGCTTACTCAGCTCTTTTAGGAGGAATATACCTGAGTCAAAAATCCAGAAGGGACAAAATGGGGAGATGACTCAGCGGTTAAGAGCACTGGCTGCTCTTCCAGAGGACGTGAGTTTGATTCCCAGCACCCACATGGTGCCTCATAACCATCTCTAACTCCAGCTCCAATGGATCTGGCACCCCCTTCTGACCTTCACAGACACCAAGTGCACAGACACACATGCAGGCAAAACAACCATATGCATAAAATGAAAAATATAAAAGCCAAGGGGAGGGCAGCATGATGGTCAGTGTGGTCCTGGCCTCCCGAGGGCAGTGAGACGGGTGTAATTAACCGTCGGTCCTTCCAGGGCCCGTACTCCATGGTTCACACGGCTCTCCCCACATACCAACCCTCACTGCACTGCTGTCACCTGGCCAGCTTACATTCCATGTTCATCCCCAAAGGCACACCCTTGCATACATCAGCCCACCTTCCTCTCTTACCCCTGCTGTGGTTAAAGTCGGCACTCCATCTACCCTGCACTTGTACCAAGGAATTCACCAGTCTGCTGCTGGCCAGTCTCTGTTCACATAGTGACTGCATCTCAGCTCTGCCCCTTGTTTACCTGATCAAATGATCCCTTTGTGCCTCTCTGTTTTCTCATGCCCATTCACTTGCAAACTATACAGGCAAACAGCCCACCCCTCTTTTCTGTGCTATGTCTGCCCAGCTCCCTTCACCTGCACTCTTCTATTGCCCCCCCTTGTCAGGAATGCTGCCCAAAGCCCTCCCCCCCCAGCAGTAGATCCAACTTATCCGCCTAGAACTTTCTCCCTACTATGACTCCCTCTGATCTCTCTCTTCTAACAACATACAAATAAATCGTCAATGCTCCCATCTTCTAAAGAGACCCTTCGCCACTGACTGCTGAACTCCTTTGCTTGTCCAGAATCTGGTTTTCCTTCCACCGCCCCAGGTCCCCAGCAGCACCTTCTCTGTCTTCCTCACAGAGTCTGTCTTCACCATCAAACCCCAACTCTTTCGACATGTTTAGGATCATTTCCCCTAGACCTCAGCCACACCTTGATTCCTGCGTGTCTTCCTTCATCATAAACCACACTAGGTAATTCTAGACTCACTGATCCATTTGCCATTCAAGTTAGGAGCCCAAAAGAATGAAAAGTAGAGAAAAATCTAAGGTGGGGAGGGATTGTGGGGAATTCTCATCTCAAGGAGTAATAGGGACCCTGCCAGACAGAAGAGGAACTGTATTAAAGAGTCACGGCGTTAGGAAGGCTGAGAACCACTGCTCTAGAATAGCAAAAGTGGAGACGAAGAATGAGAAGAACAATGAGACAAGGTAGAGCTAGGAAGCAAAAGAGCCAGGGAAAGAGATGTTGGTATGTGCTTACTCAGCAAACACAAGAATTCTTAGCATTTTCTTTTCGTTTTTTTTTTTTTTTCTTTTGAGACAGGATCTCATATAGCCCAAGTTGGTCTCAAACTCACTACATGCAGCGGAGGATGACTCTGAGCTTCTGACCCTCCGGAGTGCTGTGATTATGAATGTACACACCACCCCTCGTTTTTGCAATGCTGGGGATTAAACTTGGGGCTTCATGTGTGTCGGGCAAAGGCTCTACCAACTGAGCTACATTGCCCAACCCCACTTCTTTTCATTATCACTCTTTAGTTTGTTAAGACTGAGTCTTGTTAATCAAATTCTTTAAAAGATACGGAAACTCAATTCTCTAACACATCCCTGGAGGGGAATTAGCATTATTAATGCTAACTTAATGAGAAGCTCCCTATGTGCTAAGCACTCTTTCAACACAACTTCCTCATTTCATCTTTAAATAATCTATGACTAAAGCTTTATTGATGAAGAGGCTGAAGACCAGGACAGTTAAAAAAAAAAAAAACAAATTTAAGATGATCTAAGCAGGGACTGGTGGAGGCTAGTAAAAGGCATCTTATTCCAGCATCCATGTGGGGGGTCATCACAGCCCTCAGCCGCAAGGCAAGGGCAACGGCAATTGCCTCTTCTCTGAGATTATCAGCAGCATTCAGAGGACTTAGGCTTCTAACCACTCTGGTGACCTCCTGAACTGGAGAGATTCTACACTAAAATTCTGGTTCCCCACTCTAATCCACTGTCCCTGCCCACGCTCCAGGCCCTTGCAGCCAACGCAACCTTGTCTGGAATGGATCCATTCTCAGATAATGAGGTGTGACTTCTCTAAAGCCAGTGGTGGCCAAGACCAATGGGTTCCTGTAGGTGTGCGGCCCTCAGACTCTCCCCTCTGCACATGGAGACCTTGACTCTAGACAGACTGGCTTACCACCTGCCTCTTCAGGGCAAAACAGAGATAGAGCTGGAAGTGGTCAGGTTAGAGGGAGTTAGAAATGGAGGAGGACAAAGGACAGAGGAGCCTTCTCCGTGGAAGACATGAGTAGGGTTGGCAGGAGAAGGATATAAAATGTCAACATGTCTTCCAGATTCCTACCACAGTGCCAGAGATGTTCAGCAAATCCTTAAGGGTCTTAAAAACAAAATGTCCTCTACTTAAAATGAGAACAAGATTTGTGGCGGGCGTGCACAGTCGCAATGCCCATCTAACCAACACATCCTGTAAATAGCAAAGGAGAACTCTGAAGACCACTGAGTCTAATCCCTTCTTTAGACACAGGAGAAAAGTAGTCCCCAATGGTTAAGCAACTCGCCCAGGGTCATGGGTCATGGTGAAAGCAGGGCTGGAGCTCTAACCAGGTCTCTAAGTCTGTAGAATGTCATCCTGAGCCCCAAAAGAGGGTGGCTGAGGATGGGGTGAGCAGGGATCTGGAATCCTGGCACCCTGCCTCAAGGGCTATCCCTTCTGCCTGCCACTGCGGCAAATAAGAGCCCTTGGGACCTTAGCCAAATGACTCTCCTTCCTGGCTCTGCCTTTCAGGAGGATGAATACACAGAGAAGAGTCAGGGCCAATCGGTCCTGGGTTCTGTCTGCTTTGCAACCATTTCTCCAGTTCCCTGTCTCCTAAGAGGAAAAGCTCTTCACCAAAAAAAAAAAAAAAAAAAAATCAAAAGTACTTACTCTTCTTTGGGCATTGGAAGCTTGGAAGCAAGGTAGGAAGATGACGGCATTAAAGATCATAATTTTTTAACATCACATTCTTAGCAAAATGGCACCTCTCAAAATCAACTAATGCTACATTGGACCCATTAATTACAAGGATGGAGACTGAACTGCACTTGGAGTAGCTGGCCAAATGATGGCTGTGACACAAAATGAGGTAATGAGAGGCAACAAAACTGGGGACAATCAAAGCATCCTGTCTGGGAGTGAGACGGCTCATGGGCCTGAAGAGTTGCCTGGCTTGGGGAGCCTTGTTCAGGGTAGTTGACTCTTTGCAACTAAGCAATTTTCTCTTTGCTAAGTAACCAAGGTTCATTTAAACACTGGCTTAAACCCCAGGGCACATCAGCCAATGGTCAACAAGATGGAGGATTCTCCCAGAGGTCAGCAGAAGTTCTGTTACTATAGGAAGAGTAATACTCCTCAGAGCAAGGAGGGTGAAAGAACCAGAGCATCAACAGACATTCAGAGGCCCTGGTTCAGGAGGAGGAGAAGGTTCATGAAGACCTGTCCCAGAAGAGTAGCAAAAAAAGGCAAGAAGAAATACAATATTCATCTTGGGCAAGTTGCTTTCCCCAGGCTCAGTTCCCTTGCTGAGCCGAGTACACTCGGGCCACCTCTTACCTCAGTGGCCCTTTAAAGAAGGCTGTGAGTATAGAAATTGAAATGACGTGTGTGTGGTTGGCCCACAGTGAGCCTGACTCCTTTCTCTTCCTTGGATAAAGGGCAGACAGCACCAGAGGCAAGCCTAGGGTTGAGTCATTCTCCAGCAAGCCCTACAGGAGGGTGAAGTGCAGTCTAAAAAGGCTTTCAGGAGACACAGAGAGGATAGGAGTCCTGGGGCTCACAGGGAGGGGTAGGCTCATTCATTGATCACCCTTCTTTAATGTTCCTCTTCCTATTTGGTGAGCCTTGGGATTGTTCTTCCCCTAAATTAGGCATGCAGTGGAAAAGAGCTACGATTATCACAGCAGAAGGGCCAGGGGAACAGGCAAAGCCTGAATCTTCTGGACTTTATGGGGGAAAGGACTCTTGCTCCCTCTGTCAATCGATAAGTGGAGACTTTCTTCTTTCAAGTCAACCTCTGAACCCCAGGAGAGTGCAGGCTGCTCTTAGGGTTCTTGCACTAAACGCAGTACAGCCATCAGAGATAGGCAGGAGCTGAGGTGGTTTCGTCAGTGCACACCGACATTTCCAGGCAGTGCGTGGGTAATGCAGCCGAATGTACGGAACAGACCCAGAACGCTGCCCGCCACGATGAGTGCACAGTTAGCCGCGGGCACTGGAGTACAGGCTGTAACACATCGACATGAACATCACAGTCTGAAGGCAGGCGAGGGAAAGAGGGGATATGCAAGGGTTTAGTGAGGTCTATGCTGAGTCCACATGCCACAGTGAGCCTGTCCACAGAGCTGAGTTACACGCGGTTGGGAGATACCCTGCATAGATGCTGGGAACCAAATTCAGGTCCTTGGCAAGGACACGAAAGCAAGACAGGAGAGGGTCCAATCTGGAGGTTTGTTTCCAGTTCGTCTTCCTTTCTTTAGAGGGACGGTGGCTGTTGTTATACTGTAGTTTCAGGTCACACTTAGTCCAGTGCTCGGCTCCTCTTGTCCACGCATAAGCCAAGACATTTGTCGCTGAACATCTCAACA